ATTGTTGTTTGGTTGGGTTTTTTAACCTCTAGTTGTTTTAATCTTTGTGGTCTAGATTTCTTCAATTTAGGGACATTACATTTTGAACTGTTGATTTCCAACAGTCCATATAGCTGACCTAAACAGTTCCCTACATACAGTTTTATTATTATCAGTTCCATTTGTAGTGTATATTATTACATATAAATTTATAGATTTGTTTTTACAAGTAAACTATTAAATGATTTTTTTTACTTGTTCTTACATATTTGCTTAAAGACATAGAAGTTTTTCTAAGAGAACACAAAAAATATGATGCTTGTGAACATGGGGAAAGATCACTAGAAGCAGGATTAACAAATAGTTACTGTGCTATAGAAAAAGAGGTTTCAAGTAGGAGGCTGCATATTTAACATAATAGTAACAGTTGCCAGATCATCATGCAGGTTCCCATATGTTTTTTCACAGATTCTTATTTCAGAAGGCTGAATTTGATGATTGTTGAGAAATGTGTTAAATGAAGCATACTAGATTGACCATCTGCTGCAGTTCTTTCTCCCTTCTCTTTTTTTTTTTTTTTTTTTTTTTTTTTTTTTTTTTNGGTTCCCATATGTTTTTTCACAGATTCTTATTTCAGAAGGCTGAATTTGATGATTGTTGAGAAATGTGTTAAATGAAGCATACTAGATTGACCATTAGGTGTGGGGTTTTGTTTTTTGCCTTTTTGGGTTTTTTGGTTTGGTTTTTTTTTTTTTTTTTTTTTTTTTTTTGTAGAAATAACTTAAACGACATCTTAAACATATCAGTTCCTCTCTTCTGTAGCTGGCCACTACCTGCCATTTTTTTGATAGACACATTTGGCCATTCTAAGCAATTATGTAATAAACCATTGTAAAATAGCCATTAGGTGATGGTTATTTAATAAAAGCAGCAAATATTTTTCTATTAGAATGCACAGTATTTATTTCTGCTGTATCTTCTAGCATATGTATTTCAAAAGGTGCTGTGTATTGTAGCCCTCATTGAGGAACTGAGTATGTCTGAAGACTACTTGTGTTGTTTAACTCTGTGTAAATCTAGTGGTTTTATGTGCATGATGGTATTTTTAAGTCTTTTTTCACATAGGTTTTTCCTCCTGTATGCAAAACATTCTCCTGATGAAAACTATTAAAAAACACCCCTGTTTTTATCTTGCAAAGTTTTAGGTAGAGCTGTCAGTGCTTTTTATCAGTGTTTTGTGTTTGCTTATCACTTAATAGTTTAATTTAATGAACCTAAATGTATATTTTTATCAAATACTGTAATGTGCAAATGTTTGTTTGAAATAGGTGGTGTACTGATCCAGTGGTGTTAAGTTGTTTGAAAGGGAAAAGCATTGCAATAAGGTAAGCTTGTTGTTGTTTTTTTCTTCTGGTTTTTACTTAAAACACTTGAAAGAATGAAATGTTTATTGTGGGCAAGTCAGAGACTTCATGTTTTATTCCTTCTGCCCTACTGCTAGAAGTACATTTCTCTTTAAATCTCTTGTTTATTATTCCTCATACATTGACCCTTTATTGAGATTGTACAACATTGTTAGACAAGTAATCTGTCCTGCTCTAGGAAAGACCAAAAGCTAACTGAAATAGGAAATGTCTTCATACATGTATGTTATATGTGAAATTTAAGTTCAGCACCTTTGCTGGAATATAGAAATGTTGAAGCTCCCATGTGGAGCATCTCATTTGGGATTCCGGGACTGAAGAATTGCTCTAGAATTGTAGACTTCTGCAGAAATGACCAAAAGCTTAGCAGGAGTTTGTGGTTGTTTAGTCCATTGTTTGCTTTGATCTTTTTTATTCTCATAATACTTCTATTCCACTTACCCAGGTATCCTAGGAAAAGAAATCATTTAATAGAGCTTCCTGAAGACTACAGTTGCCTTCTGAATCAAGCCTCTCAGTTTAGGTAAGATGTGGCATATTTAGTTGTTTTCTTAGGTGTTTTGTTGCTTTTAGTGAATTTTAGATTCTTGCAGTTACTGTAACTGGTATTGAAAGAATACAGAAATTATTTTATAGTGAAGGCGTTGTTATGGTTATACTGACCTATACTAGCACCTGTTCCTTTTAAATATGAAGCACAACAGCTTGCTAAATGAAGTCACTTGTGTTTGATAAGGCAGCATATAAAATTTTTATAGCTTAGGCTGTTGGTCACTTTTCTCCTGCGGAATGTGCATTTGGTTTGGCCATAAGCCCAAAAATTATTTTTGCACTGGACACAACAAGCTCAGATGATGGCACTGTTTTTTGCCAAGAAGTGTGAATCATAGGATAATTGAGGTTAGAAGGGACTTCAGTTGATCATCTAGTTCAACCTCCTACTCAAAGGAGACATCTTGCAGATAATTATTTCAAATAGTGTGAAAATACATGAGGAGGCAGATATGTTATTTGATTGGGATATAATATGTCTTAGGCTTTTGTTTGGGGTTTGGGGTTTTAAATTGGTTGGATAGGTCTTTTTGGGGTTTTCTTAAGGAACATTAACCTTTAGTTAAAATTTCTTTTAAAGTTTCGGTTTCTGCTGTGACATGCTGGTTACACTTCTTTTAGATGCCCACGGTCTTCTGATGATGAACAAAAGCACCCAGTATTGTGTTTATTCTGTGGGGCAATGCTGTGTTCCCAGAACACTTGCTGTCAGGAGCTGGTGAATGGGGAGGAGCTGGGAGCCTGTACTTCTCATGCTCTTCAGTGTGGAGCTGGAGTCTGCATGTTTCTCAAGTAAGTAGCCAGAAGTCACAACATTGTCAAAGCGTTTGATTCTTTTTGTCTGAGATAAAGAAACAATACTTTGACATCAATTATAGCTCACCAGAAAGGGAAGATCCTGATTGGAGTTGTATTTTAAATGTAGCTATTCTTTTCTTTAAGAATCAGAGAATGCAAAGTTGTCCTCATTGAAGGTAAAACCAGGGGCTGCTTATATCCTGCACCCTATTTGGATGAATATGGAGAAACAGATCCAGGTCTGACGTAAGTAAATGCCTGACTTCCTATCTCTCCATTTTTATCTTTTTTTCCTTCTTATACTCATTGGACAACACATTCTTCTGGCTAGTGTGTACAACACTGTATGTAATGCATATCTTGACCTGGGGAACTGATGGCAGTTTCCAGTCAGAAGTGGGTAGTTTATAATGAGAAAATACACTTTTTTAGTACTGTTAAACTTTCTTACTTGTCTCAAGAATGCTTTGTATGCATTTCATCAGAAACATATGAGAACTGCCATTGCTGAAATATCATCACAGAAATGGCAGTCATTGCTTGTCACAAGTAGAGATATTTTTGCACTTCCAGTAGACTTGTTTGGAATTTAATTAGTATTTTATTAGTCTAGAGTTAATGTTAGCCTATTAATTGGACAGTTTGTCAGTTGCTATTCTGATTTGCTAACTAGTTGTTCTCTTGTCCTCTGAAGAAGAGGAAATCCCCTGCACTTATGTCAGGAGCGTTACCGGAAGCTCCACCTGCTGTGGCAGCAGCACTGCATCATAGAGGAGATTGCCAGGAGCCAAGAAACAAATCAGATCTTCTTTGGATTCAACTGGCAGCTGCTCTGAGTCTCTTGATTTTAGGGAAAACTCTGACCTGTGGCAATGCTTTGGAAAAGGAAAGGAAGGTGGCAGTAAAAAAATCTACTCAAGTGGTTTCTGTAGTTCAGACAATTAATTGATGGATTCTCTAGGTTGGATGTATCACTGATGCATTGGAACAGAAACTCGTATCACATATTTTCCTCTTTTTTCCTTTCCAAAAAAAGGAAAATCACATTCTGTAATTATTACTGAACCAGAAATATTTCCATTTTTTTCAGAAGTTCAGATTATTTTATGTGTTTTCATGAGGACAGTTCCCAAATGCTGTTTTTCAGTGCACACACCACACTTGTCTCTTCCATGACTTGAGAACATATGTAAATGGTGTTGCCAAGAAAAAGCCTCCTTTACTTTCTTCTTGGGTTCTTTTCCCAAGCTTAGTGAAGCTTTAAATAGATTGAGATCATATTGGAGTGGAAGTGGTGCAAGGTCTTTAGTCACCTGCAGCAACAGGTAAAATAAAAAATAAATTTTACAGAAAAAGCTTGTATTCAGATATACCTTGGGATTTAATGAAGAATTTTCATTGATGAATTCTTTAAATGAGAAGTGTGGAATAGAAAGTGCATGGAGGAATTACCATCTTGCTTGTTGCATCAAAAAATTAAGTCTGTGCTTTTTGCATTGCCAGAACTGCACTTTATCTAATGAAATTATCCTCCATTAGTGTATATCATAAGAGGTCTGGGGCTTCACCATTTGCCTAGGTTGTGGTTAGTTTTACTTCTTTTACAGTTTATCTCCTGAGGCCTTCCCCAAGAATTGAAAGAGAAAATACTGCAGGTATGTAGTTGCAGTGTAGCTCTGTAAGGTACCGAGCCAGAGACCTCCGTGAAGGAAACAGCCTTCAAAGCTGCCTCTGGACTTAAATCAAGGCCCAAAACCAGCAAGTTTTAGAATCAGAAATAAGTTTGCCCTTATCTAAGGGATTTTCTGCTCGTTATCCTCTGTCACTGTTGTTTGAGCATGTTTTAGAGTCTGCATAAATGAAATTGTGTGTTTTGGGAGGCATGTTCAGTGGTTCAGTGCCAGGTAGAGCAGAAAAGGGAAGAAAAGGTGGCTAAATCTGTCTCTTTGCCCTTCAGTAGTTAATAGCACATTGTGATTGAACTCTCTCTCAATGATACGTGATTGTGCTTCAGTTCTAAATGTTTGTTGTTCTGTTTTCTGAATTTCAGCCGTAATATAAATGAGAGAATTTGTAATGTGATGGATAAAAACTCTTTCACATGGAAATGGCATCTCCCGAGAAAGTTTGAAGTTGTCACTATCCTTCATTTCCCTGCCCCTTTGCTATTTGTAGATTCTTTGGTGCCATTTAAATCAGGCTTTCAAGGGGACTTTTTCAAATTAATGTCTGAATGTTTTTGTGTGATTTCTTTTTTGTTTTGTTTTCTTTTCCCACAATTACGTGAGAGATAGTAGAATCACAATTAATGATTTAGATTTAAATACCATTCTTCTGGGTTTTTTAAAAATGTTTTTTGAGTATGTATGTATGAGTGCACTGCACAGCACCAAAATGAATCTAAATATGGAATACCAATGATCTCAAACATTGTTCTGGTTTCAAATACTTTTTAAAAACTTCTGCTGTAATCCTTGCCCAGTGATATAAAAAGTTGGCTTTGATATATTTTCCAGGTATTCTCTTTCTTGAAATTAAGACCATTCTCCTTATTTTGATTCTGTCAGATTTTAAACCTGAATATTAAACTCTTAGAAGACAGATGTTAATGCTGTTAGTCTTCTCTAAAACATGTTTGAAACACATGCTGAGTTTAGAACAGTTGTCATGAAAACTTGCATGCGCTGGTGATTTTTATATCATCAAAACACTGCTTACAAACAAAAATATTGAATTAAGACTGGCAAATGCCTCATTGGTACCAAACCTGTATTCTCTTACTGTTTCCCTCTGATATTTACATATTCAGTTATCAAGACCTTTCAGTTATCTTGCACTTCACTGATACAAAATTTCCATTATCCAGTATACAGTGAGATCACTTTATTTTGTTTTCTGTCTGAACTGTAGTATACAAGGACAGGAGCTGGTAAGAGCAAGTGAACTTCTTTAAAGCTCTGGAAATCTCTTTGTACCTAAAGAAGTGGGAGAGGAAAGTTGAGTCTACATTTGCACATACTAATTTAGCAAATGGGCTCCCCTATAGTTCACTGACTAGCATGGTCATCTTTCATTTCATAAATTACTATGCAGTTTTGTTCACTGTGAGTATAATCTGTATTTAGTGACTGCAAGATGCTTATGCCACTTATTTCTGTTCCATCCAAGCTGACAGAAGTTATTTGATAATGCACATACTGGTATCTTAAATTGCAAAAATGTAAATTTGAAACTTGTATAATGTTCTTGTGCTTTTGAAATAAAATATCTTGTATATGTATATTTAAAAAAAAAAAAGGAAATAAAGTAACTTCTTGTAGATTATTCAGTTTTTATTTGGCACCGCACAGTTCATTTTACCAAGTGTGTTATAGTGGTGGGAAAGGAGAAGAGCTGGAAAATGGTTGGTAAACTGTCAGTTATCCATGTAGGCTGTATCTTGGTCTTACTGTAAGGAATGGTAGGATGCCTTTTCTTATGTAAAGATACGCTCCACGTGAAACCTGTCCTGGTATTTTACAGATGCAAATTCCTACACTGTCTACATAAATTTTTAAAAGAAGTTAAAAGAATTGAATAGTTATATGCCCTGAAACTGATCTAGTTGAGTGCATCTGGTTTTGTATCTTCTTGAAGAACTGGCTGTACTGTTTGGCAGATACTCACTCTCTAGAAAGGGAAACTTTATGGTGCTGGTCTCATGTGCTGCCTGATACATACTGCAAAAAAAAAAGTGACTTATTATAGACCTAAGCAAGCAGTCAGGACATCTTTTACATAGATATGGCCAGTACTTCTTGCTCTTAAAGTTACAGGCTGCTGGTTGTCATCATGTTCTCACTGCTTTGTTCAAGCTTTGGGCACCATTTGGGTGTTAATGATGTTGCTCTTTATGCTTATTCTCAGTAAATGGTTTTTAGGAACTGATTTCCTGAAAAGGTGAAAGGTAGAGGTAGATAGGTTGAAATCTACTAACAAAAATTTTCTGAAGAAAATTAGAAGAGGAATCCTGTTAATTAAGGGAAAAAAGAAAAGACACAGCAGTATTTCTTGTGTAATAAAAATCTCAATGTACAAAGTTATGTAGAGGAGTATTTTCGCTATTATATGCTCTGCATTATGGTTGAAATCCACTTATTTTCTAGACAACAACCTTGAATAATTTCCAATGTAAACTATTCGGATTCATAATACAGCCTCTATGCTGTTACTTAGATTCTTCTAACCTATTACTTGACAAGGGGTTCAAAGATTTTATCAAAAATAGAAGTAGTTTAATTTCTGTGGCACAATCTCTTCTCTTTGTTTTTATCAGTGTTTTCCAGGTAGGCTAAATTGGAAAGTTCACACAAGAAAAAATGGCTAATAATGAAAATCCACTTCCTTACATGTGTCTCAAATCTAGTTGTTTCTAATCCTAGCTACATTTCTCTGAAGTTGGTTTCAGTACAGTCAAAATCATTCACGAAAGTGAAGTTATGTAAAGGAAATTTGCATTGAAGGAGAGCAAGCTGAAATTCCAAGAGGTGATATGTATGTGGTTTTGTGTAACCATGAGTAAGAGACCAGGTACAGAGTTAAACATGAGACATTGAAATGGGACCTGACTTTTGTTTTTGCTGTTCATGAGATCAGTGTCAAAAAGGAGTATAGTTTGTTCTGTATAAGTACAGGTTGTCAAACAACTTAGAGTCCATCAGACTTAATTTTAGATTTCTAGGCTTTCTGCTTGAGTGAATAAGCTGCAGCAAAATGTTGTGAAGCACAAATTGGGGACTGTGGTTTCATGATCATTTCAAGTCCTTGCCGTATTTGTGAAGATGTGTTGTTAGCCTTTCTCAGAAGATTGCAGAACTTTATCTCCTCCTTAATTGTGCCTGAAATTTAATATTGGCCTCTTTGGGTACAAGAATTGAGATGTTCATCCCAAGGTGATGAAGATCTGCTTGAACTAGTTAATTCAAGTTCCTGCTTGAACTGTGTTCATTTTAACAAAATCCTAGATGTGTTGCATGTTTATATTTCTTACTATTTTTTCTCTGTGATCAACATAGAGCAAGTGTTTTCAGTGGCAATGTGCAAGCTTTTAAGGAAGAGCATAGTACATGCAGTTTCTAAAGAAACTCTCATTGTGCCTTCATCAGAAACTGAACATTACATTGTTTATTTTAATTTTTAAATTAATAACTTGATAAAGAAGACAGTTTTATGCATAGGTAAGTTCCTTACTCTGGAATTTTCTGTATTGTTATAAATTTTGGCTGGATTAGGCATTAGTAACAAATAGGATAACAAGTGTCCCCTGAATCGTATTTATTTCTGTATCTGAGCAGATGCCCTGGCTTAAAGGCTTGGCTCACTAATGCCATCTCTGTCTTTATGAATTACGGAGAGTTAAAGATGGAGTCTGTGCTGCTGCCTGAGTTTGTTTCCTTGATCCAGTGCCTCTGGTGTTAAATACTACAGGAAACCTAAACGGTCATGACAGGTGCTATAAAGGAAGCTGGGATATGTAGGGTGTAGCACTTCCATGTTCTGAGGAAATCAGTAAATACAAAGCAAAGAAAAAAGCATTTATTAACAAAAGTAAATTTTATCCTGATACTGTGAAGTGAGCTTTTATCTTTTTGTAATGTATCCCCATCGGTGGAGACTCTGAATGCCTAGACAGGATAGGAATTAGCAGTCTAATGACTTAGTGATTACTGGTAATAGGTCAGACAAGGACTGTTGCCTGTGAGATGTATGCTGAAAGTCAGCTAATTTCAAAACCAGTCACATTCCACTGCTGCAGTTTAGCTGAGAGACAAAGTTTAATGTGTTAAATGCTGCTGAATCTTTTACGGTAAAATGTGTTTTGTTCATATGCAAGTAAATTATCTGTGTGGGGGCCAGAGAAGATTGTATAGCTGGATACTTGCACCTCTGCTCTTTGTGGTAGTGTGTTACAGCTGCTGCTGGATGGCATTTTTTTGTCTTGACAGAGATGCTGAGGCTGGCTCATCAGTTCACTCTTCCTTCCAAATCTGTTTTTTCAGAGCAGACTCTTGACGAGCCCATTAACTAGAAAGCTATCAAATGAGTAAGCTTACGGTTCTTATAATTCTACAAGCTTTAGTTATTGAGGTCTAGGAGTGTTGTACCAAAAACAGAATAAAATTGTCTTGAGGAAGTGACTGCTATTGACTGACACAGATAACACTTGGCATACTTATCTGAAAAAAAATTACACTGCATTTAAAGAAAAACATGCAAAATCTGATTAGTTAGCAATACAAGGAGTGTCTTTTCCCTGATCCCTCAAGGAACCACAACTTTCTGCATTCATTTTTTCCAGCCTGTATCATCAGCTAATTATAGAGCTGCTGGTAAGTACTTCTGGCTTCCAGAAATGGCTGAAGGAATTACACACCAGTTAAGTTTTAATCACCCACTGGGCAAAGTGATTGCAATGAAGACAAGAAGTAGGCATACAGGTAAGTGCAGTGCAAAGGGGACAATTAGCAGTTCTTGTAGAAAGAAGTCTCAGTTTATAAATCTAGTTCTTTGAAGGTGTTTTAACATACTTAAGTGTAGGCCTATCATGTTAGGCAGTGAAGGAGTTACAGTTGAAATTATGGTCATGCACATAGACTCCTGGAATTACACTACAGATTATTGCATTGCACAATTTATTTACAATATATCCTTATAGTATAATTTTTGCTTTTTCTCATGGGATACAACAGTATTTAGGTAGAGAAATTTTTACTGTTATTTTGCACAGTTTCAAAAGCAGGAATGGTTTTATTTAAAATATTTCAGTGATAAAATTTTGTTTACTTGATTATCTAAAGAATGCACTCACAGCAGTAACGTGTAAAATATTTCATTTGGTCTTTCCACCTCTGTTTTTTCTTGGTACTTTTCTCCTGCTGACTCTTAATGATCAGTTACAGTCCTAGGGCATCCTATAACTTCAGGTGTTTTGTGCATTGAAGCCTTTCACTCCATGCATTGACAGAGCTCCTGGGGACTGTAGCAGGGGCATGATGTGCAAGCTGTCAGTCTGTCTGCCTTCATTGATTACAAACCTCTTACTTTCCCACCCCTGGATCAGTGTGCTAAGTACTTTTGAAACTAGGAGCTTTCAAGCATCTAGGATCATCAGCGTTTGTTTCGTAGAAAGTATCTACTTGTTTTTAAACTTGTGCTATCACATGCTAATTGGAAGTTTAAATACCCCTGCACAAGCCAGCAGTTTTCTTAAGCAGAGAACTCCTCTCAGTTGTATTTTGACTTTCAGGGAAGTGGGGCAACTAGCATTCTCTAAACTGTTGGAGGGGAAAGTGAAAAGGTACTTTAGACATTTTGGGAAAAACAAGTGAAATACTTTTGTGGTAACTTTTATTGACTTCACCTGAATTTCATGTACATGGTGGATTCTTGTAGGCTGTCATATATGTATATTTTTGTTAAAATTTCCCCTTTACTAACTTGCACCAGCAGAATCTTCACTTCAGGTTTTGTCTTCTTTTTTATAAATAAGCTTTTTATCCAGTGTAATAATTTCTTTTATGATTTCCCTGCTCCTGAGATTTTATAGGTGTAATGACATCTTTGGTTCCTAGTCAACTAATCTGTATGTTTGTACGTGTACTCACCTTGTCTGAAATATTTGCTTGTGCATAATGATTACTGTGATGCATTCAGACCATGATAGAAGTCTCTAAGTAAAGTAGAGAAAGTGGGGGAGATTCCAGAAATTTCTTGCAGTGTTGAGAATCAGGAATTTTACAAGTAAAAACACATCCATCCAACGAAGTATCAGCATTTTTGGAGCTGTCACCAGTCTGGTTTGTTCAATTTACTAGTTTTTCTACTTTTTTTCCCCCACCAGATAAAATCTGGTGCCTGTAGGACTGTAATAGAGCAAAGCTACACTTGTGATGTCATTTCTTGGAAGATTTGCCTACCTAGCTGCAGGGATAGATTTTGTTGTAATATTAGTTTTGTCACAGTCTGTGTTTTGAACATTAATGTTGGGGTCGTTCATGCCTGAGACAGTGGAGATCTGGTTGGCTTTGCCGAGATTCTTAATGATGCTGATGTTGTATTTGGCAGTTTCCACAAAACTGTTTTCTAGTAACCAACCATCTGATTCACCCTCCAGATCTCCTAGCAGGAGGACATTCTTCATGGCTGTCTGCAGGTACCGGACACCAATGAGTACAGAGAGCTGTAAGAAACAGTTCATGGTTAAACAGCTGAAATTGCAGCCTGTGCTATCGCTCAGTTTTCTGACTGGTGTGTTTACAGGCCTCCTAACTGTGTAAAGCAGACAGACTTTATCCTAACAATATGTCTAACCACTTTTCCAGTTAATTACATTTTAAAAGAAAGATAGCAGGGAGAGATGGATTGATTCTCTCTTCATTCTTCAGGTAGCAATCCTCCTTGCATATAAATACCTAGAATTACTCGTGAACCTTGTGGCCTCAGAGACTGCAACTAACTGATGTCAAATGGATGATCAACTAATGGATCCATCAGTCACTAGGAAAGAAAAAACTGTAGTATGTTAATTTCAGTGGATTTTTTTTTTCCACTGACATTGATTAAATCAATATTTCTTCCGAGGAGGTTTAATCATTCCCTTGTAAGCCATATGTGTCAAGCATGCCAAGGCATGAAAATTAAGAATGATGGCAGAGGCTGAAGTCTAAGCTTAGGAAAAAGTTCCACTTTCATTGTTCTGTTGGAATCAGGATCAGCTTGTCAATATTTAAGGGAACACAGAGAGCTGCCTCACAGCTTTTCACATGCTTCAGGTTATTTCTGCCACCACAACCCCTCCTAGAACTGCCTGAGGACTGTTGTGAGCTACTTAAATTACAATGTTAATATTTATGTAATAAATAGAGCAATAGTCAGAAAACTAAAACATGCTAAAAAGGTAAGAAAACTGTATTGGAGCCTGTGCCATTGGGGAGTCCTGTACTCGCAGATGACAACATCCAGAGAGCTCTTCCTTACAGACGTCAGCAGGAACACTGCAGCTTTGCAGGTGTGTAGCTTGCCTCCGATGTGCTTATTTTGATTGCATAACCAGCAGCCCAGTCTACTTCTAAAAGGATGATATGCCACGACTGCAAGTACTGTCTATATGGTGAAACTATGTAATATGAAAAGGAGGCTTTGAGATATTAATAAAATGCTCAATTTTAATTATAAACAAAATTAGTGCATTGAGCCAAAGACCTACTCATGTTTTATATATTTCTTAAAACAGCACTCAGACCTTCTCACCAAATTTCCTTGAAGTTGTGTCACTGCATTTATCATCCTGTATCTGATCCCATAAATGCATCAGGGAAGGGATTATGCTATATTCTATTGAAAAAGCTTTATAAATTATATACATGGTTTCTGATAGTTCTTGTCCTCAACAAGATTTCCTTCTACTCTGTGGACTTTGGAAAAGTTGTCTTTGCTAAAAGAAATCCTTCAACATTCCTGAAGTGCTTGTGGCCTTTATACTGGATGCTGAGGCACTTCTCATGTGTTACACTGTCATTGTTTTTCATGCTGGAGAGACAGAAGACTTATTAATCCGATAAAGACCATTTTTATGAGACTTACCTCAAACAACCAAATAAGCAATGCTGCAATGCCAATGGATCTCATAATACCAGTGTAGTAATCCAGCAGGGCCTGTCTGCACCCCTTCATCCAGATATTGAGCTCCTCTGTGAGGAAATCGTAGTTGTAGTGAGCGCTGTTGTTTGTCAGCTGGTACTGGATGCAGGGCCGTGGTGAGCTGGGATTGCAGCAGCTGAAGGGGACTCCATCCACCAAGAACTTCCCGTCAACGTTGCTCTTCAGGCGGCTGCAACAGGACGAAGTCTGGGCATTACAAACCTGGTGGCAGCAGCAGGCAGTGCCTGTGATTTTAGAATAACACAACTCTTGCAATGTAGGCCTCTCCAACATAACAAAAGGAAAATGAGGATATACTTTCAACTGGAAAAGTTGTTTACTGCAGGAACACTGAATATTGGATTTAAGTGTGGTGTAGGAGATGTTACCTTTTTAGGTATCTTTGTGCTGAATACTAAAGACAATTTTTGGACTTGTTTATCTTGGTGGAATTCTAATGGAAGTTATATCCCTGGAAATCCTGTATTTCACTACTTCTGGATTAATTTTTCAGCATAATCATTCCATGGGAGGATCCTAATACAAGGGATCCTAATACAAGAACAACTTTGTATGCCACAGGAAGCACTGGAAATCATCTGCTGGCCTTTTGCCACTGTACCCATTGCAAGGGCTGGTCCAGCACAGGTTTTGAGACTAATTCACAAGGAAAATTCTACTTCTTGTAACTTCACTTTCTGTGACTTTAAGAAATGTATTTGTTGCTAAAAATACTCATTTCCCTCCTCTATAAGATCAGGTGGAAAACAAGTGGTGAAAGAGGAAAGATAAAGGGGAACAGGAAAAAAAATCATAGGATGGGCAGAGAACACAGTCTCAAATTAACCAAGATTTTCTGGAAGATAAATGAATCTTTGGCATCTGTTTTCTTCCGAGAAAGAGATTTTCCAGAAACTGGACAGTATCTAAGGTGCTGAGAGACACACTCACACCTTGGGGAAGCAGCCTCTAAGCATGTATCTATTCTTATGTTTGGTGGAAAAGGCTGATTTCCTGAGACAGCCCTATGGGTGAAAACCATGTTCTGGTTTATCAAGTCCAGGCCATTTACCCTTTGTAAGGGGACCGGAATACAGGATAGATAATTCCTCTTATATATACAGCATTCACTATTTGTCAACAGTAAATTTTCTAGTATTTTCCAAAACTTACTCATTTATTAATGTTTGCAAATAATATTTTTCTGTTCCAGTACAGCTGATCTAAATGAGAGGGAAGGAAATCATTAAAAGAAGCTCATTAGGTAAACAGAGCAGAAACACTGTGGTCCAGTGTTGACCTGGAATTTGGGACATTCAAATGAAACACAAGTTGCTAGGAAGCTCAGTATTTGTGTCAGTGCTATGATGGCAGAAAAATTGCTTTTGTTTTATTGTTGTGAGCCCACTAAATACAACCTCCCTTTTTGTTTCTTCTTCTTTTCTTCCTCTAATTTGGGTTGTAGTGGGTTTTTTTTGTTTTACTTAAAATTCTCTCTAAAACATTTTCCTCAAAGTTGTTTCCAGGTAAACCAGGAAGTTCACCTGCCATTTCCTGCTCCAGTAAGGAGTGGCATAGGCATGAATTTTTCTCTATTTTCAAGTCTAAGCTTTTCATTTTGTTGCCACCATATCCCTGACTGAAGTGTGTGAACCATGTTGTGGACATAGGCAAAACCAAGCACTGGAAGGGAAGGGAGCCAGAGAGGCACAAACCAGAGGGCTCCAATGTGGGAAGAGAAGAGAAAGTTCACAGAGGAGAGAAAGACTGGCACATTGTGAAAGGGAAGATCTTACCTGGGATGGCAAAAGGCCCTCCATGATTCAAGGTATTATATATATTTAATGACCCCAATATAGTACAGCATTTAAGATGGTTGAAATACAATCTCTTAAACTCTTTTGATTTCAAGCATCAATTAAAACACTTTCTTTTGTTCTGGGAGTGGTATAAAGAGGAGTCCTTTCTACTGCCAACAGTAGCAGTCTTCAGACTTGGGTTATATCCTCCTGCCACTGTGTTTCCTCTGCTAGTGGCAAATTAAAATATTTCATTTGTGTCATGGGACAGTTAGAAGGGAAGACTTCAGTAAAAGAATTGGTGGAGGTACACGCTCACTGCTATTTGCTGTTGCAATTCAAAGCAGTTATGGTATTGTAAAGCAAATCTTTGCTTTTGAGCAAAGATGGTTTTTACCCAACCAAAGCAATGGTAGCATTGTACTGCTGTAAGCTCATGTTCCTACCATTCCCGCTGACTGTTTCCATGCCTTGTTAAATTGTGGTGTTGGCAAGAGATCTGTAGAAGAGGGTTTTGCAGGAAGGTGAAAAGTTCAGTTTTGCAAAGCTTACATGTGAGTTCACAGTATGTCAGATTTCACCTGCTTTGCCTCTTGATCTACAAACTCCTGACACAGAGTACAAGTTGAAACCAAGAAAGACTTGGTTCCTTCTCCATCCTTTCAGAACATTACCAGCTGGGCTTTGCTTCCAAGTATTTCATATCAAATGTTTCACTAGTAGATTTTTGGAAGTCATGGTATAGTTTTGTTATACAGTACCAACTTGGATTCTGCCAGTCAAGATAAAATTAAGCAATCTATCCACAGCAAAAGACATTTACAAATTACTTTCCTCACACACATTTCACTGCCACCTTCTGCCTACATGGGGCAAAACCTAACTGACAGTGTATTCTCAAAACAATGGCAGAGCACAGAGGAGCCTGCAGAATAAAACACAACTTAATTAAAACCCTGGGTAAAACATTACTGTTTCTGCCTCTCTCACAGAAATAAAAGGAAGTATATTTTACTTTTGACCTCACACTAAGCTACTACTCCTAAATTCCCAGGGATGGTCTTTGTTGTCATGTCACTTTTCACCATAGACCCAAGACTTGAAACAGCTCTGGTCAGTCTGTGCTGCGTGACACTTTCTAACTTCTCTCTCTTGAGAATGCCTGTATTGCTTTATTTCCACAGACAAGTGTCTTCTGTATGCTGATGCCCTCTTGTTTCTATTCTCCTAGGTCCTGCCCTCTGGTATATTTGCAGCTCTCTATATATGCTTTGCTTATGCTGGCAGTTTCAAATTGCAAATTCTGTAAAATTAAGACCTTTGGCCTCCCTTTCTCTGGATTTAAATTGTCACTGATTTTTGAGTTCAACAAAATGTAGCATTTACAAATGCCAGTCAAGCTCTTTCCATTTGTCTTTCCTGGGAATACGAAGCTACTACTCTCTTGTCAGTGAAGACCTTTTTCAGCTTTAGAAGAATTATTACAGACTGGATTGTTTACTTTTGTAAGTTTTAAATTTTTACCTTTTCTGTAAGTATTACCACTCTTCTTTTTGTGCATATAATTTCACAGTTGCTACATCATGTGAAGCACCACCAGCAGAAAGAAATGGGGGATTTTTGCTTTTTATGCAGTGTATGTGGTGTTTGGCAGTTTCTCACATGTGAACCTACAGATTTGAACTTGGGATTGCAAAGTTTAATACCTTGAAGAAGAGGGGTCTTTCAGTGCTTAGAATTGACTGTGCAATGTACTGATAGTACAATCCTTTTTTTCTTACTGTTATCAGCTCACTACAAATGAAATTCAAAATTTGAGGTAGCTAATTCACCACACTGAAAAAGGAAATACATCTTTGCTTTGTTTAGCATCCCTAAAGGCCTAGCAAAGGGCAGCTTTTGATTATTGTGCATGTATTTAGCATATTTTGTGAGTAACCTGGTCATTATACATTTTTAAAAATTATGATGCAAAGGTCCAGAAAAAAGGGCTTTCCAGTCCCAAAAAGTTTTCCTTCTAGATTTTTTTGCTATGACTGATAAATACTTACTCCAGAACTTCCTTGGAAGCCATATTCAGATACCGAGGAGATACCCACTGAATTTCAAACCAGTCTCTAAAGCCATTGTTTCCACAGCAATGGAATCCAATTTGTAACAAATCCACTGTTTTCTTTAAGAAACATCGCCCAGGTATGTCTGTGTCTTTATAGAACTTAATGGCATCCCTCAGTCCCAGATAGAGAGACTCTTCCAGCTCGTTCCTCATGGTGTAGCACATGAGAGCACCCACCAGGATGCAGAAGGTAAAACAGAAGGTACATACGATGTATGGCAGCATTACTAGTTTCCAGCGAGAGAACTTGTTTGCATCTGAGCAGTCATAGCAGATTTTGCCCCCCAGAAAGTTGATGATACATGCTATGACCCCTACAGAGATCAGCATGTTGGGGACAGAGTTAATGTCCCCTTTTGCCATCACTTCATTGCGCTTCTTGATCTCTATTTTCAGAAAGAGGCCAAGACTGAAGAGAATGATCCCACTCACTACAGAAACCCAGTTGAGGATCCATAAGATCTGAGCCAATTTGTCCCTCTTGGTTTTGGTGAATTTGACTTTGAGGACAGCCATAGTCAGACACGCATTAGGACAAGAAGCGTAGGTCAAGGGAAGCTCATAAGCTGATTAGGAGCATGGATCCAAGGCGTGCAGTGGAAATCTGAAGAAGAGGGAGAGAGATTACTGTCTGTTTGACCAGGTATTTATAGAGCCTACAAAAGAACTTCCTGTTCAGCCTCACGCACTCTGAGTCCTGCCAAGGGAGTGCCCCCGTGAAATTTTTTTTTTTAAGTGATTCACATTGTTACAAAATATAAGTAGTAATTTTTAATTGCTGTAGTTGGTCCTTAGAACTAAGTGAATAGTATGAACAGAGACTCTGGATTCCTATGAATTTTTGTCAAGACCAATTTTCTGTGCAGACCTGGTATCTAAAAGTGAACTGGCCCTATGTTCTTCCCTTCAGAAGACTCCCAGCATCTTTCCCTTCTACTTGTTGCCTGTACTTTTTTTAACAATTACAGGTATTTATTATTATTAGATTCCTGTGTTATGGTCAGGTTTGTGTTCAAAAGGTGAATAAACATATATACAGCCTTCTTTTTTTCTTTCCAGAAATCTTGCTTGTCTTGTTCCTTTGGCAACTTTCATTAGAGTGATTTTATATTGTAAAACTCAGCATTATATAATTATACGGTAATTTAATTCCAGTAATACAATGGCATTTATAAACAGTAAAATGTAATCCTGTAAATCTGGGGAAATAGAAAATATCATGCTGCTTATATATCTCTAAGTTAGTGGATGCTATTACTGAATAAAATTTGTATCAGCAAAAACAGCATGAAAAACACCTGGGGCAGACGAGCTGGACAGAAGTAGGGCTGCACTGACCCAGTAGAGGGTCCCCAGCTGCAGTGAAGCTTAGCATTGGATAAGCAGATTGTTGCAGAGTGCAGTTGGAAAAGGTAACAGAATGCCAGCATCTTCATGTGTTTACGTCAGAAGGAATCAGTTCAGTTTGTACAGGCAAGGAATAGGTTGTGTGATTCATATTAGGATATGGTTAAATATCTTCATACGCTAAGATTTTAAGGCCTGTGATATCTAATTAATTCAAGTTTCATTTATTTACTCCTGCATTTACAGAGAAAACCAATTCCTCTTAAAGCTATTCAGCTCTGTGTATCTTTTGTACAATACAGAGAATAGTGTGCAAAATGCACAGTATTTTTCCTTATCAGTCTATTTCTGGAGGTGTTGAGGCCAGCAGCTTTCTGAATTTTAAAGTTCAGAAACAGGGTCCTAATTGTAATGATTGTTAAGGTTGATTATTAATTATGACTGAATATTTATTGTGATCATATTGTGATAATCATATAAATGATAGACCTTACGGAAATGTCCAGAGAATAGTCATAAAATTCCACCACTTGCTTCACACCATTTTTCTCCAGTACTGTTCAGACCTCATTTGAAGGGATCATGCTCTGGTGGTACAGAATTGAGCCTCCCTGTGAGTTCAGCTGACAGCCTGAATAAGCCTGCTAAGCCTGGAGACAGTACCTTTGATTGCTTCACCAGTTAAGCAGTTTGTGACTTGACCTTAAATAACTGTAAATGATGGCTGCTAATAGATCTATTTGCCCCTGATGCCCAGGCCTCAGAGCTCACAACAGCGAGAAATTTGTTGTGAAATTTACTGATTGCTGATACGCAGCTCATGTTCAATGGCCAGCACACATGAATGCATCACTCGCTGTTCGTTTCTGTGAAACACACGCACATATTTGAACAATGCCTCAAAATTGTTCAGCACACATTTAGTTACAGTGTCACTGAAAACACCCTACTTGCTAAACATATTTAGTTTTACCATTTGGACAAAAGTTGTAAATAGTTCTACTCTGCTTAAAATTAATCTACTCCAGAGGCATTGTTGCTTTTGGAAGATACAGATTTGAGACTTTGTCGTGTTCTAGCTGTAAAGAAATCTGAAGTTGAGTTCCATCAGCAGGGATACATTCAATCTCATGGAGCTATTCCATCCCCAATTTTCAGATGCCTGATGTTTAAAAAAAGTTAAAAACCTCTGTGCAAGAAAAATTCTCCTAGTAATTCCTTGTCTCATGAGAAATTCTCATGAGGTATTCTTAGCTTCCTTTGTGAATTTTTAGTATTGTTGTAGGATCAGATTTCACAGAATATTGACATTTATCTTACAGTGCTACCCACACCAGCAGCATAAGATCTGTGATTTCATGGAGTCCTAGTGCCAGATAAAGGGGTGGAATGACTGGTGGTTGTAGTTCAAAGGCCACTTGTTGACTGACCCTGGCTGTCACTGATATGCTTGGGATTGATCTTTGGGAGACACTACTTCTCATGAAATCCTGAGTGCATTGAGTCTGGGACAGAAGAGCAAGTGATCTATTCCATTCCTTGTTCCCAGCCTTCTACATGGATACTTATGTTAAGATTTTCACCTGTGCTAACAGTTTACTGAATTTATTTCTGATAATAAGACTCTCTTCACATCAGGAAGACTTTTATAAATGCATCATAACATTATTCTTTCCCTGTTTAACAAAGTATTGAATACATTTATCAGTGGAAGATCTATTGTAACACATGCACAGCTGTGCAGTATAATTTTTTGAGCACCATGAAGAAAGTTTTTCCAGCTGAAAGAGCTGAACTGCAATTATGAGCTAAAAATGTCAGTCTTGCTCTGCAACATGTGCCTGTTCTTCTCCAAGTCATAGTTGGCAGTGGGTTACTGTAAAGCCACAAATGCTCCCAGCATTTCAGTGGAACTAACGCCTCTGTCATAGTTGTTAAAAACCTGTGCATGTGAGCCACTGCAGAGTTATGAATTATATACACACAGACATAATTTCCCCAGCTATGGGACAGTAAACTGGATTTTATTCTATAAAGGGAGAAATACTTCTTTCAACAAAAGAAGACAAATAAATGTGGAAATCTCTCCCATACTATCAATACTGTTCTCAAGCTTTCTTTGTCTAATTAAAATTGATTTAACTTTAAACACAGCTTCCATCACCATACAATTTGCTTCCAAGATGTCGCCTAGCTGTTCCTTTGCTATCAAATTTCCCTAACTATATTGAAGAAGACATAGCACAGCTATTTTTTAATAATATTTACCTATTACATACAAATTGTTCACAGAAATTTTGCAATTTTGTCATAAACAAGCCACATCTTATCTTACTGATTTTGCTAAAATGTGCTATTTAACTAAACATACATTGCCATTTGTGATATTATAAAAGAAACCACTAACCTGCTTCAGAGGACTGAATGGGATCTTGAAACTGGTAACTTGTTGAATTCAATGGAGAAAATACCTGAATTGGACATCCTGAGAATGGCTGAAATACTGGTTTCCTGATGTTTCTGTAGTTGCTCTGTCTTCACACTGACTCACCAATGAAGATGGAGAAAACCACTTCAACTCTCCTGCCTGTGGTAATCTCTCCTTCATCTCTAATCGTAGGTAAGAGATTTATTTCAAGGTTCTTATGCCACCAGATTAAGTCCTACAAAACAGGCCAATTAACTGAGTGTGAACTGAGATCTCACCAACAAAATGGTTTATAGGACTTTCTTTGTCCGTTTTACCCTGCTGGAGATTTGGGCTAGTAAGCAACAGAACTGTTTTTCAGTACCTGCCAATGTCTTCAATAGCTCTTAACTTGTTTTTAACAATAAATATGCCTTCAAAGGACGGAAGAATGAGAATAATGAAACTTAGTGATTCTGTGGGAAGGGAAAATCTATCTTATGCAACTATTATTTATATCCATTATTATGCTCCTTACCCATCATTCTATACTTTGTTGCTTTGGATGCAATTTTCTGTTCTCTGTGCATTGAAGGTGATTGTCCTAGAAAAGAATTCAAGTATCCAAGAGCAATTGGATCATCTGTATGATTCACGGTAGGTTCTGGCTTGGGAAGCTTTCCAGGTTCAAGAACATTCTAGTAGAAACCTCTGTCCTAGCCTCTTACCTAGCTCTGTTCCAAACCAGAACAAAAGCAGAAGTGTCATGTCCTCTGGCATTTCTGAGCACAGCATGTAGCAGTCTGTGGGACAGACGTGGCTGGTTTGAACCGGCAACAGTGGTGGCAACAAGCTGAGTGTGCAGCAGGGCTTGGTCAAGTTAGAGGTGATGTCAGTACCAGAACTGAATCCCTAAGCAGGAGCAGGTTTGAGCTGTAGGCTTGAGCTTAGCACAGCAGAGAGAGTTCAGTGGGCACATGACGAACTGCAAGAGACCCTGCACCAGGCACTGTAAATGTGTAGAAATATTCTCAGAAGCATAAACTGTCATCTCCTGGCTTATGATAAGCAATGAACCAGTAGCCTGATAGGACTGTGATAGTAACTCGGTGTTCTGGCAGTACCTGCTGCATCCTGCCTGTGTCCGAATGATTCAGAGCATCTGTGACACATCTGGGACCTGTTGGACCAACGGCATATGGGCCACACAAATGCTTGCATATGATCAAATACACCCCGATAGCATTGAATTAATCCTGTGCACGAGTCATTCATGCTTTGGGTTTGCAGCACTCCTGCAGACCACAGGGAATATTTTAGATCTGTTCAAATGTGTTGGTTTGTGTACAGATTAACTCCACGGAAGTATATTCAAAGGTATAATGTATTCCTTGGGTATAGCACATGCACACAAATGTACACATTTTGAGCTACTGTTCAGCTGGAATGTGATATATCAGACCTGACAAATGGCTGTACTACTTTCCTATGTTAAAAAAAAAGTTCACTTGTGACAATTGTACCCATCTGCAGAACTACAAACGCGTTATCCCTGAGTGTTAGAAAATGTTACTGCCTCAGTTACCTACTAGCAGCAAGCTGCACCTTCCCTGCGGCTGCTTTGCAACACAAACCACCACTGGCATGCACAGAAGCAAAGCAGCAGCAGATGGCAGTGCTGCTGTATGAAGGCTTTTTGTACAATACAGAGCAAGAAGCTTTTTTTTTCTTTCAGTTTGCATTAGAGATTAGAGGTCATTCACACAGCTAATGGAAACTCAAGAACGCCCCATTGTAAGAAATTACTTAAATCCAATTGTAATGCAGTTAGAGGCCAGTGCTACCTGCATTTTTTGTTCCATCACATATTTGGAAATGGCTTCAGCTGCAAATGTAATATCAAAAGTTGAATTATTCAAGAATTAGTTCTGTGTCATGGCAGTTTATAATTAACCATGATGCACTTTCTTGCAGACCTTTGGGATGCCTGGATGAGCACATAATAGTGTTTTGTAACTTGCAGGAGTACATGGGGGATTGCATCTGTCACCTGGTGGCATAGAAAGAGATCACACACTTTCCACATTGTTAATCATGTCACAGACCATCACTTCTTCATCACACTGCTCACTTTCCTGCTAGCAGTGGAGATTGCTGTGGATCCAAAACAGGCAAATTTAACAAATGTTTGCCCAATTACTTACCTATTTAGTACCATTCATATATAAGTCCCCAGGCAAGGACAGATGTGTTATGAATCAGCTTAATGAAATAACTAGTTGGGATGTTGCAACATTTAACTTTACATCTTGTTTCCAAAATTTTTTTTTTTTTTGTATTTGGATGGCTTTTCATTTCACCTTGTATTTAATGTAAATGACAACTAATGATATGAGATTTTGGAGTACTAGATTAAAACTGAAGGCACTTGATGAGTCTGATGGAAGTAAGAGCTAAACAACCTTTTCTTCTGAGCTGGGGCAAGTCCGTATTCAGGAGGAGATTCTCACTGATATGTGATAATGGAGAGAGGACATGAACAACAATTTGCTCTTTTTGGCTTTTGTAAAGTTGTGAACCACATGGTAGACACTTTGAGAAATTAATGTTCTTCAAATAATCAATTACTTCTATTTGTTTAATAACTTAATCCTCTATTACATTTTTGAACTTTTAGGAAGGAAGTATAGTGGTATTTAGATGATTATGATTGTCATACTAGATAAAGATACCTAAGTTAAGTCACAACATCTGAAATTCTTACGGAATTGCAGAGTTGGCAGAGCGAATGTCGAAATTTAAAGGCAAGAAGTAATGGCACTAGTCAATAATTTAAAAGGACCCAGTTTGTACATTAAAATGACACAAAGCTTATTGAAAATGAAGTAATTTATATTTTTTTACAACTACAGCTCTATGCTGTGCTACAGTTGTACCAGAAGATACGCTGTACTACATTCCATAAAAAATGTGAATGCTCTAACTGTGGCTCATCTAATTGCCTGAAGAACACCACAGATGAAACAAATCAGAAAACTAAGTACTACATTTTTCAGATGTGTAAAGGTTGTAACAATAAGGTTGCTGAAAATCATTCTCAGGCAGAAAAGAAAATTATAGCAGACCTGCATGAACTGCACTGCATGTGTACAGCTTGTCATTCATAGTCCTGTGCATTGCAGGAAAATCCATATCAGTACCTTTCAGGCTGGCTCTGATTTCAATCCATAGGAGCTGTACTGTCCACAATCTCTGAGTCATCCACTCGTGACTCACAATGAGTCATTACAAATGGAAAACCAAGGCACAGGAATAGTGTATTCACCTTAAAATCAGACCAGCAGTCTATAGTACAGCTGGAAATGAACATGTATTTTATATTGCCTGGTAACCTAAAGCTTCCATCTTGGCTGTAACTTCTTTCTGAAGACTAGAATCCATTTTTACAACTTAATGAGACCATGCAGCAATCTTGCTTTTCGCTTTTGTACCTTATTCACTATGGATCTTATCCTCACAAGCCAGGTATCAGGAAGCTTTTTGCAGAATGGAATTATACACATACTAAGAGGCCTGGCAGCAGAATTCTCTTTATATAATGAGGTAAAATTTTCCTTTTTAAATTCCATATCTCATAGCATCAATACTTTGGTGCACTATACTACCAACTGACCCTTCTTCTCCTAGCAAAGTAGGCAGACATACATTGTCATATTTCTCCTCAAAAGACCTCCTAAATTAATCAGTACCTATTCTCAGCTTACTATAAACCTGATGTTGATTCTGTTTTTCACACTCCAGACATCATTTGAACTGAACAATATTACTTACTCATTGTGGGAACTCAGTACAGCATTCCTGATGTGCAGAGGCACTGAGACAACCCTTGGGGGGCTCGGAGGTCCTGGAACGTTGCCAGAAGTGTTTGGTGGCTAGGCTTTGATCCTGCACAGGATGTAACACCTGTATGAGGATGGGAGGATCACACGGGGATAAGTGGTGAAGGAATAGATTGATTATAGTGTGAAACACAGGTTTTGGAATTTCGGTACAGGGGGGTTTTTAGGAGACAAGATGGAGGAATTAGGGCGTGTCCTGTCCTTCTTCTTCTTGTCATCCATCTTCAGTCGTGGTGGTGGCACTTTGAGATTGGCTCTTACTGAATGTGCACTTGTCAATAAGGGTGAAAGGTATTGGGGAGAAAAGGTAAATATCTTACACGTAGTTTTTGGTATAAAGATAAGTGACCGCCCCGAGGGCAGTCAGTGTGCTCATGGCTGGCTTGCTGTGCGGACCTCTGTCGGGCCAGGAGTAAATATTGTAGATAAGAATTAATAAACAACTCTGAAGAACTGAAAAACCTGAAGACTCCTTTCGTCATTTGGAGCGCGGGCTGCCCCAAGGCCATCCCGAGCCTTTCCAGGCCATTGGAACAGCCGAGACGGGACAACTCATATTGTAGGGAATTGGAGATTCTTTTGGAAAGAAAAAACAGTTACCAAGGTGTGGGGGGGGGGGGGGGAAAGCAACTCACGGGCGTTTCTGAAGCTGTCAAATAGACAGAAGGCAGAACCCAGACACTGCTCTTAGAACTTTTCCCAGATCCCTCTGTCCCTTGAATGGTGACTTCATGCTTATTGACACTGTGCTGAGAAATCACAATTCATGGAAAAAGACTGAAGGAACTCAGGTACCTGAGTGTAGAGATGAAAATAGTGTACAAATAATTTTATAGGTAGTTGCACAGAAGAAAGGAATAAATTCCTTTAGGTGATAGGATATGAGTAGAATAATGGGTGAAATAATTCTTTTAGTGAGAATAGCAAAACAGCCCCTGAGAAACTCCTTGATTTCATCAAAGTACTTTTACAACAGGTTGATTAACACTGGCCAGGAGTGTTGTAGAGACAGTTGGAAAAGGGGCTAAATGTCTCAAGGTCTTTGATTTGTCATTTGCAATTAACTAGATACTTGTTTAAACATCTACAAAACTTGGTAAGAGCTTTTTCATCTTTGGCTGATAGTTCCTTTGCTCTTTGACTTTTGCCAGAAATGTGAGCTTATGAAATGTTTTTACCTTTCTACTCTTCAGTGAAAGCATTGTTTGTGCCTCCATTTATATATTAATTTTAGTTAAAGTTTTCAACGGTTTTTCAATTCTAGGATATGGTATATGTTAACTTACTGACTAACCAAACCTCTGAATTTTCCATCTCTAAGGTCTGATCATCCTGCTATCCACATCCTCCTTTTCATTTTTCTTTCTTTCTCTCCCTTCTTTTTCCTGATATGTGACTCTCCAAAAATTTTTGTGGAGCTTTTTCTTCTGTAGTCAACAAAGCAGAAACATTATTCAGAACTTCTGACTCATACAGAAATAAATAAGTACCACCAAGACCCCAGAGTCCAGGCAAGGAGGTTCCAATGGAAGTGTTTGAAAGCAATGAGTCCGGCCTTTGCAGGATGAGTCATCTACAGCCATACATGTTGATTTTAAGAAAATAACAGTAGAGTTCAGAAGTTCTTCCACATTGCTACACCTTATGAAGCCTAGTAGCTGGTAGCATTAGAAAGTTGTGTTCCATCTATAGACATTCCTGGAAATTCTGATCTATTTCTTCAAACAAAAAAGATATTAAAAGTGGGTACCTCATTTGATATGTGACTATTTTCTCATTTCTGTTCAAAAAAAAAAAAACAAACAAAGGCCAAAGCTATGTCTAGTCATGCCCATAAATACTTTGCTGTCACTTTGGTCTTTACTGGCTTGTTTCTATATTTTTTTTAAATTCAGACCAATTCTATTTTTTGCCCCATTACATGATTTAACACTTATTACATTTAATCTTAAATAATTATGAATAATATTTATAATTATTAAATATAAAATATCCATATTAAGATGTAAGAATATCTTTACATGACTGGAGATTATTTTTCATAGAGCCAAACTTCTTAGGAAATCATATTCATGGCCATGCACATGCCAGCATAATTAAATTTTTTTGTTTCATAGCAACTAGCAACTATGTGGTTATCATAAAGTTTAGTCTGGCAAGCCTTTTGGGATTTGGAGTAATTTCTGTAATTAATGTTCCTGCTCTCTAATTTCAGAGTTTTGGTGTGCAGTACTTTCCTTCTTGCAGTCTACAGCCATGTGAGATACTGAATTAAGACAACGCACTGTGTTGTGATTTAACCCCGGTTAGCAGCTAAATCCCAGCAGCTGCTCATTCACTCCTCCACCCCTCTCCCAGCGAGGAAAAAAGTGGGTAGAAAAGGCAAACCTCATGGGCTGAGATACAAACAATTTAATAATTGAAAAAAATAGGAAAGATATTAATTAGACACTACTACTACTAATTGTAATGGAGAGAGAAATAAAACCCAAGAGAAACAAGAGGTTCCCACTACAATTTTTCCCCACCCAGTGCCTGATGGCCAGCCTGTCCCCCAGCAGCCACTGATACCTCATGGCCAACTCCTACCCCATTAATGTACTGGGCATGGAGTTCTGGGACAGGAAATATCCCTTTGGACAGTTTGGGTCAGCTGTCCTGGCCACGTTCCCCTCCATTCTTGTGCACCTCCTCACTGGCAGAGCACAAGAAGCTGAAAACTCCTTGATTTAGAGTAAGAACAACTCAAACCCAGCTAAAACATCGGCTCTTTGCCAACATTCTTTCACTAAATCCAGCAATGTAGCAGTTACTATAAAGAAAATTAACTCTATCCTATCTGAAAGCAGGACAGTTTGCTTTACTGATTTATTTTGCACTACCTGGGAAACTTAAAAACCTCCAGAACAAACAGAGAGGTGCCTGTTTGCTGTGGTTCACAACTGCTGACCAACAGCTGCAGAAAGAGACACTTTAACATTGAGAGAGACAACTAGAACTAACAATGTAAGAGCTGAACCAAGGGCATAGGACAGGTTTTGGCTCAGGGAAACTTTTTCCAGGGAAATCAACACAATGCATCTGAGCTTAACTACATGTACTATCCAAAATAAAAAGGAAAAAAAGAAACTAGAGTAGCTCAATTTCATATTCTTATTTACATAGAGATTTTAATGTGCTGGTGGTTTTCTGGGCTTGGTTGTTTGGGGTTTTTTTTGGTGTGTGGCAAAGTTTGCACTGACAGAGGAAATGCTGGTATCTGTTATGCTTACCAACATCTCTGAACCTAAAATAGTAGAACAGAAAGCCTTGAAGAACTTCTTGGTCTATTTCTGGAGTAGTGACTTAAAAAAGATTAGATCTTTTCTTTAAGGACTTCCTTCACATAAGTGGAAACAGATTTTCCTTTTGAAAAGACTCAGTTTTAGTTTATTTTTTTCTCTGCTTGACTTTTATTTGAACCATCCAGGTTTTGTCTGCTTACAAAGAGCATGTGGTAATTTGGAAACTTACAGCTCACTATACTTCAAGTGATGATGAAGGAAAGGCTATTTGGTCTTTTAGAGTTTTCAGTGTGCAAAAAGACATGTACACATGGTGTGATTCTCATGATAATGTGCATGTCAATTGTATTAGATAATGAATTAATTTGTATTAGATAATGAATTAACTTCCAAAGTGATGAGAGAAACTATGTCCCCTGGATCTGAAACGATGAACAGGTAAACAGACAAACCAGATAAACAAGTTTAAGGTCTTTGCATTCTCTTTAATTGAATCAGAAAATTCTCCTGAAGAATTGTACACCGCAGGCAACATGTCAATTATTTGGGGCATAATAAAGAACTCTTCACAAATGGATTAATACTCATGAGCTCCTCATTGCATCTAGCATGCAGCAAGTTTTCTTGGCATAACTTATTACTTAAATTAAGAGGTGGTTACGGTGTTTATCTACCCTGGGAGGAAAAGTACTGCCTACTTTAGAGTGAATGTGAAAAAATTATTTGTTTAGTGCATAAGAAAAGGTGCTTATGCTAGAATAACTGTCACCTTTGCAGTGCCTTTATGACAGATTTGAAAGAATATGTAGTTCCAGTTGAATATTTTCCATCTGAAAAATTGTAAGTGCCTTTTAAAGGTAAGCAAAATCCTTAACTCCTTTTTGTAACCCAGGAAAAGATCTACTATTGTGTATAAAAAAAGCAACTCTCTCCATCTCTTGCCATCAACATTGGTTCATTTCCATTCACAAAATGAACATTTCTTCACTCCATCAACTTGTTTATTACCTGCTTCAATTGTTACGACACATAATACACATATGCCTTCGCTACATATAGAGAAATGAATGCTTATCAGCAGTGTTTACCCACACCACTATGACTGGTGGCCCACTGGTTGAGGCAATTCCCTCTGATAATGAAGAAGTGTCTTCCTGAAACGGACATGGAGCAACTCGCAACCTTTTGGGTTCACCGCTAGGTTTGGTTCACAGCTCCCACTTCTGGGTAACTCACTTGTAAACTACAAGAACTAAAATCTTCTTTTTCATAAAGTAGCAGGAGGAGATGTTTCCTAACCCCACTTTTTAATGATGATCTCCTAGTGATGAATGAAGAATGGGCATAAATTATTCACACTATCTACTTATCCAGCTGGGGGTAGGGAAATAAAGGCACTTTTATTTTTTCCTGCTTATACGGTGTGTTTACTCAATTCGTACAAGCTGCTATGAGCACAGCAAAACTGTACTTCCTCCTTCCCGCAGCACAGGCCTCCCGCAGGGCTTGGTCCCACAGGCGGACTAAGGCACTGGGCTGGCACAGTGGCCTGCAAATGCGTCCTGTGGGCTGCTCTGCGATGATGGCCCCAAGGAGGAGTACCTGCTCCGTGCCCACACAAGCCTCGAGAGTCGTGCCTGCAGTGAGGAACCGCCTGTGAGAGCAGGAAGCCTTCCTTTCAAATGCCGTACGAACCCAGGCACAGGACACATCACAAACGCCCTTTCCAACTGGCACTGTGCAGAGCCCAGGGGTGGCAGACCTGCTATGCCCGAAAGGGGGAGACAGGGGATGGGGAGACAGTCCCAGAAGAGGGAGTGAGTTCTGTGCAGCCAACCTGCTCTAGGGAGCCATTCCTAATGCTGAGCGGGAGAGGAAAGCATCAGACCTGCCCATGCACTGAGAGGAGGCCGCAGGGGTCTCAACGCGCTGAAGCGCTTCAGGCCTGGCACCAGGGACACGGGCTGTGACACGCCCCGAGTACAGGGGCTCACGCTGGCCAGGGGCCAGCAGCAGGCAGAAAGGGGCTGGGGAAAAGCCCTGCCCTGCTTACAGGGTAGCTGGGCTGGGGGCCGGGAGAGCTCCGTTTCCCCCTGCGGTGCGGAGGCAGGGGCTCTCACCCTCCTTTACAGGGTTGCCCCTCTCTCCGGGCAGCCAAAGGAGCACGAGGCAAAAGGCCAAGCACAGCAAGGACCAGCCCTGCACGCAGGGAGGTCGCCCAGCGCAAAGCCAGCCGCGGCGCCCTGACGGTGCCCTGGCCTGGAAAAGCCCTTTGCCCAGAGGGCCCCTCGTGTCCCTCTTCAGCTCCCAGCTCGCTCTTGCCTCGCCCTTCCACTCTTCAGCTGGA